AAGTCCACTCATCTTAAAGTGGCCAAATTTGGACAACACTGCCCTAGATAATCCAAACAAAAAATGTTCTAAATTTAATACACATGCTACATTCTTTTCCAATCTCCTCATCACAGTGTTGGAAGTATGGAGGGAAATCATAGAATGCTTAGGACTGCTTTTGCTTTCATTCATTTAGCACTGAATTCTTCAATCCAACACTAGTAACTGATTATAAACCAACAATATAAGACAACAATTATGTTTTCTCTTAATCTTATGGTTGAAATGAGTTAACTTGGTATACTTGAGGTATACCTTATTTTAGAAAGTTAACACATTTTATTTGTTTATGTTAATATTATATCCCCCTTTGCTGCAGGGGCACAAAGTAGTCTAGACAGCACTATCTCTTCCATTGTTTTTGTACCTTGGTTTGCTTCTTTCACTGGGCATTGACAGAGGAATGAGATTTGTTGGTTGTTTCTGATAACTCAACTGCTTTTGATACCAAGTCACAGTATTCTCCTAGATTGCCATATGATTTAGAAATAGGAGGCACAGCCAGAGATACCAAAATCAATTTCTCTGTCACTTCTCCTGGCTCTTCTGCACTGAGTGAATTAACTAGCAACTCAAGTCATAAATCCATCACACAAGGTCATAGATCTAAATTACTGTCCAAATTTAAAAGGAGATGAAAAAAATCTCACCAGTAGTCAAAATCCAAAACTAACAGTTGGCATTGTTGGGGTCAGGTAAAAGTCAAGATTTCTGAGGAGGCTAGACAGTTAGAAGCTAGACACAAGTTATTCAAATTTTGGTTGTAACAGAACATTAGTTCTGGCCTATTCCATATCCAGACAATTCCTTACACACAGGAAGTTTTCATAATCTAGCTAGGCACTAACTAGTTCTGATTCGCAGAACTATATTGTAGAAGGATTTGAAGACCTGGCTCTGCCACTTGGCCTGGGGTGGGGAGGGAAGACATCAAGTGCATGGATGCCCAGCCCCATAGAGGCCTGGGGTCTGCATCTCTGAACCATTAGCCTCTTGGACTTTTTCTTTTTTTAGTAATGGTTTGTACAGGTTTTAGGTTTTATGTAATTGTATATGTATTTATTGTTTTAATGAGTTGTGAGCCGCCCAGAGTCCCTTATTAGGGGGAGACGGGCGGGGATAAATTTAATAAATAAATAATAAATAAATAAAATATCACACCTCATTAGATGTGTTGTGCCAGATACTTAATACAGCCATACTCTCCTCCAACTTTCTGTTCTCTAACTTTCCACAATGTTGCAACAGCACTCCTATAGGCTGGGAGGATGGGATTCTGGTTTATGATTTAAGTCAGCTGGGACAGGATCAGTAGAAACTGATGCTACCCCTTTGCTGTTGCTTGAGGCTGAGCTTTCTGTGTTGCTCCCTGACTGCCTCTTCGGGGTACCTTTTGTCTGAGGATGTCTCTTCAGCCAGGAACAATCCAATACGGTATGGATTGCCACGTACTTGTTTATGGTCAGTAATTGGCTAGATGAGGATAATAATCTGAAACTGAGTTCAGAGAAGACAGGGATGCCTATTGTGAAGAGTCACATTTTTCAACAGAAGTGGCAGATCCTTCTTGTTTTTAATGGTGTCACATTGTCCCAGAAGGAGCACACATATAGTTTGAGAGTATTTCAAGATTCACATTTCTCTTTTGTTTCCTAGACTGATGCAATGACCAACAAAACCTTTTATCAGCTTGGTTGATGTACCTACCTGTACTCGTTTTAATTACTAATTTAAAAGGAAAATATATTGAGCATAACATCTATTTCTTATCTGACTTTGTTAAACAGACATATATTATACCACAGAGATACCATAAGAGCAATCTGTAGATTAGCTAACTTTCCAATAGACTCCTAAAATTCTTTGGGTGCAGCAAGAAGTACTTACCACACAGTAATAATGAACAGTGAGATTATAGTCCTCATAAGTCCTCTTTTCCCCATATTTTTCAGGACAGTCATCAGCCCGTTGACAGAATTCACAGGCTAAAAATTAAGAGGAATATTATATGGATGCTATGAAGTTCTACTGGTTATTGGATATATAACAGGGTAACCAGAACAGCATACAATAGTTTAGTACAAATATCTTATAGACTTTTCTGAACTATTAAGTAAAATTATTATAGCAGCAATTACAATCCCAGAAATTACTTCTAGCTGCATTCATATACAAACAAGGTCACTTGCAATTTATTTAGCACATTTATATGGCTGCACATCTTAACCAATTAACACCAGGTGGCCAACAAAAACATAAACAATGAAATAAAAATACAATAAGCATCAACCAATTTAAAATAGTTGAGACTCCTTACAGATTCTCTGCAAAGAATCTCAAGTATTCTTGACAGTATAAGAACAAGACACACATACTGGGCTTTACTAGCAACTTGGCTCATTGCCCAAGGGAAAAGCCAGGTCTTCAAAGCCTTCTGGAAGGCACACTTCCTGAGATCCACCCTGACACTGTTTCACAGAAGGGATCTGGAACATGCCCACCTTGCCAGATCTGCTGGGATGGGCTGAAACCACTGGAGATAGGCAATCCCTCAAGTATCCTGGCCCTATACCATGTATGGCTTTGAAGGTGACAACGAACATCTTGAATTACACTTAAAAGTCTACCAAGAGCCAGTGCCCCTCACATAGCAGTGGTGTCCTGTGGGTGTTCTCCACTGCTACTGAATGGATTTCAAGGACAGCCCCATATAGAGTAGATTGAAATAATCCACCAGGAAATGGCTAAATCATGAATGACTGTGAGCAGTGTCTCCAGATCTAGGAATGGATGCAACTAGTGTACAGGATGGATTTGTGCAAGGGACCTCCTGGGCACAGCTGCCACCTGCTCCTGAAACAGGAGTTGTGGCCCCAGCAGGACTCTCAGACTGCACACCAACTCTGTTTGAGAGCATGCTACCCCATCCAGAGTTAACAATGGAAGATGTCCAGCTGTGGGGAGTCCTTAAAGCCAAAGCCATTTAGTCTTGCCAGGATTGAGTCAAAGCCCCTTCTTCCCCATCCAGACCTTCACAGCCACCAAGCACTGTGAAAGAACTCTGGCAGCATCACTTGGGCAGGAATGCGTAACTGAGCATCTTCAACATTCTGATGATACTTAATCCTATGCCAGTGGATAGCCTCACCCAGTGGCTTTACGCAGATGTAAATAGGAGTGGATAGAGAGCCTAGGGGTAGACCTCCCCCACAACACATATTGGAATTTGCCTCGGAGGAAGGAGGAAAACCATCATAAAACCATGCCCATCCCCACAACTTTCTCAGCTGGTCCAGAAGGATATCATGATCGATGGCAGTGAAAGCCTCTAAAGGAACAAGGAGGGCTAGGACAGATATAACACCCCATCATGAGCCTGTCATAAGTTATCCACAAGCATGATTAATGCCTTCTTATTGCTATAACCCAACTGAAACAGATCTAGATAATTCATTTCCTCCAGGGACCTTGGGAGCTGCAAGTCTACCACCTTCTTAACAGCCTCCTCTAGAAATGGAAGGCCGGAGACCTGCCATGACCATATCTTTGATCGAGAACAAGATACAGCTTCTGATCTGGAGAACATGGCATTAAACTTTATTAATTAGGGACAATGTTTGTATAGTCACTCAAAAAAATTGCAGTGATGGTTAGTAATAATTACCACTGTGCTTGACAAAAAAAGTCCACCCCAGAGCATGTGTTTAAATTAGTATCAGTTCCTTTGTCACCAAGGTTACACTATGTACAGGAAAGGACAGGAATAGTTTAATGTTCTCCAACCTGGGAACCACACAATTTCCAAAAATCCCAGAATAGAATGGCTATTGGAGACCCAGTACATCTTGAAGGCACCAGGCTAGAGGCTACATTAATTGAATCAAACATAGTAAGATACACTTACGCAGGTTCTGGAGGCATCCAATAATGTTCTTACTCATTCTAGTGTTCTCCATTCAACTAAGTAATGAGAGAAAAATCAGTTGCTACGTCATATTAAACTTTTTAGTCTATGAAATTATCTAATCCTCTATAGTTCCAATTAAAAACGAACTATGTGATAAGAAAAATAAAGTACTAACTACTCATTATATACCTCTCAACTGCAACTTGAATCCTGGCCTCAGGTTTTGTTTTGGATCAGTAATTTATAGACCCTTTTCATTATCTCTAAATTACTGCAACTAATAATTTATAGAAACAAGTAACAATACTAATTAGCATAAACCTGAAAATCAGAAATGCAAATACATTATCTCTTTGATTGTACAAAATTACCTGGAAAAAAAATAAGATATCCTTTGCTAGTATCCTTTGCTGTTCTTTTGTCTCTGCAAATTTGCTGAGAGTTCTGCATTCAGTCTTCATCCAGGTAAGAAAGATGATGAGGAGCAAAAGAAGAAAAAGACAGAGCAAACAAGAAAGGGAAGGAGGGGTAGGGGAGGGGATGAGAGGGGAGTTAAGTGTTTTATATCAAATGAACAAGCAAGGAGGCAGATGAGACAATAGATCATAAAGACTACTACTCTGGCACAATTAGGTCACAAAGGTATTGCTCTGAGGCATTATATTTGTCATCAAAGCACCCAAGTCAGGGATCTCACATGTCAGTACGGTTATGTAAGACAGAATAGCAAAGCCCATTAGAATGTAATGCTAAGTGTCAAACCCAAGCTACATATTTAAAGGACCCAAAGAACTGGAAGATAATTAAGTGAACAAAGGAACATTTACAAAATATGTAGTGTTAAATCATTGCTTGATATTTTTCTCCCAGAGATGTTAACTGATGCTACAGTCATGCTACATGTTAGGAGATACAGAGATTTAAAGGCAAATCTAACAAGTGCAGACAAAACAATTTATTCTTGCCAACTGGAAATAAAACAAATGAATTCGCAGTAATATGTTTTACCACCACAAATATTTTAAAATAGAGGAAATAAGATAACTTCTATTGGTTGAGGAGTATAATATACATGCAACAATTTCAATATTTGTCCATGGAATACATCAGTATTCTTTCTGCAAACAGATGAATGCAGAGATTCCTACAGAACTGGGCAAAAGCTGTATCTTAGCATTTCCAACCACTTCCAGTCCTACATTTGAGGCCTGTCCCCCAACTCCCCAGAGCAACTTTTCTAGAAACACAAAGAATAAAAAAAAAATGTACTCTTCACTCTTTCAAGTGTCCTATTAGCAGTGTTCCACTTGTAAAAAACATTATTTACAAGAAATTGATGTTTCAGAAATGTGGTAAACCACTGGTTTTCCCGTGATTATTCTGAATACAGTACTAATACACTATTGATGATTATGCAATTTGTATTTAGTTTGTAAATCTTTCAGAGAAGAGGTTTTAGAAATGTGGTAATTGGGTCTATAAAAATACACTGAGTGAGCAAGGAGGAACAAATTTTTAAAAATTGCACACATACACACATATATGAATTCTGGGACTTTTCCTTCTTCCTTGTTCATTCATGAGCGATATGGCCTGATCTGTTTTTTTGCATACGTTAGAGAAAAGGGTACAGATTTTATTTATTTATGATTTCCAAAACAAATCTTTAGTGCAACAGTAACTGAATGTGACTTTTCAAAGTACTCACGGAACTTAAAGCTGTTTTCCTATAAGCTTGTCTAAGTGAGAGGGGTTTTGTGTCCTCCACCTTGATTGAGTCTGATCATCAATCTTGCTCCATCTGCATACTTTAAAGATTAGAAAAACACAATGACAGTTATTTTTATCTGAAAAGCAGAACTATTCTTTATTGTTAGTTAAAATATTACAAAGTGAAATGCTAGTTCTCTTACCAATCAAAAATAATTCCCATAAAAAACTGATTCTAGGTCAGCTTTCCACAACCTGAGCATTCTCCAGATGTTTGGACTTCAACTTTTATAATTCTTAGCAGTTACCATGCTGGCTGGAAATTTTGGAAGTCCATATATCTAGGAAGCACCGAAATTGGGAAAGGCTGTTGTAAGATACTGATAAGATCACAGAAGACAGTATTTTAACTTTGAAATGCTACACCAGCTTCAGATTAGAAAAAGAAGAATTTCACATTAATAGCAAATAAATGGAACACTGAATAATACAGGTCTGGGGAATTCATATATTTCTTTGCTGAATGATTTCAAATTATAATTTAATTAATCTTACTTCTCCTGATGCCTCTAAAGAGAGATTCTTTTCCCAGTAAGGTCCTCTGGTATTCAAGGTCCACAAGTTCCAAATACTTCAACAGTGATATCATCTGTACAGATAGAATTTCCTGGACAAATAATCAAAGCATGTATAATTTCAACTCATTTGGGAATATGATTTTTGTGAATATAAAAATTACACCCTCAATTCTCTTTAATCACTTCCCTCGTAGAAGAAATTTGTATACTGTTACAATATAATCCTCCACATTTCTGAGTAGAGATGTGCAAACCTAAACTCAATGGCATAAATACCCTCTGGTAAATATGATTGCTGTATTAGAGCTATACAAAGCATGCAAAAGAGTGATTTACCATGAACAAAACCCCTTCAAAGCTTTAAGGTGACCACATCCTTTGCAAGGCTCATGTGCCTGTTTCAAAAACTGACCCTGGTTGCTTTCATGCGCTATGTGCATGTGCACACAGACCACCAGATACAGATTATCAAGGATGCCTTACAAAGCTTTGTTCATGCTAATGTGCTTTGCAAAGCATCTCTCTTGAACACTGCGCATATATAATGCAAGTTCAATTTACCTGACCTCAATGCAATGCATTTTGCATGGAAAGAAATGTTCTGCAAAGATTAACATTATTTGTGCCATGACTTGACTAAGCAAATAATATAATTTACAAAAACCTAACATTTTGCAAATGAAACAAATCGTTGCAGGTGACATACTTTTCGCTTTAATGGACATCTGCAAATAATGTATATCCCAATTAGCTTACTAAAATGAAATTTAGATAGTATTTTAATCCCACTAAACCCTTGGGACTTAGCCAAATTCAAAATTCTATTCACCTAATTAATGAATATTTCCAGATTTGATAAATAACCCAGACAGCAATTTTTGAAAGGTGGATGTCCTTATTTTTTACTTTGTATACTGAACAGCTTTTAATATACAGACACCTACTTTCTCAATTCATGCCTTAATTATAACATTCTAAATGAAATATTGTCATAGCATCAGTTAAAACAATTCAACATCTGTTCATGCAGCTGTAACAGTATCAAGAAAATAAAGCTGTACATTATAATCACAAAAATCAAAAAGACAATGTATCTAGGATAGTAAACATAAGCTGCTTTAAAAACCAAGTTTACACTGCCATGAACAAAACATTTTCAAGTTAGTCAGTTTTAAATAAACTGTTCTTAGCATACAAAACAAGAGGTGGCAGAATTTCAGAGGCATGTTTTCCATTCTATCAAGAGGCAACAAAGACAGTGTGTGCTTCAGAGGCTTTCACAAATACCATCTCAGTTCATGCTATGTGCTTTGAATTTAAATAAGAAAGGGTCTTAAGTTCACAGTGTAGCTTCTGACAGCCTAATGTTACCTCTTCAAAGGAAACCACTGGGCTATTTGTTTAGCAAATCATACATAGCTTTCAGCAAAAAGCTTCACTGAGATGAACTGCAGTGTCCAACAACAACAAATTATCTTGCAGTATTATGTTCTGCAACTTAGAAAATATCTAACATTTTTGAATTTAGAAAGCACCAAACTATTTCAGCCTGATGCTCAACTTGTTCATTCAGAATTTTAAGTCCCACTTAGATTAAATTATGACTGTTAGGAAATATCCAGATTCACAGTTCTGGCTTACAGAGTATTCTGACTGACTAAAAACAGTAACAGAACTCCTGCTTTCAAGAAAAATGTATTTCATCTTAATATTTTTTGATGTGTTTAGAATCAAGTCTGTTAAACACAAGCACAGGCAAATGTGCATTTTATATGAATACAGAATTGAGCTGATTAGTTTTTTATAAGCAGTGGATTGCTACAATATCTAAACGAAAAACATAGTTACTACTGCAGCCATGAATCAATTTGCTTGCCTTTAAGGATACAACACCAGATATCTTGAAGAAAATTTAAAAAGATTTGGTTCATATCTTATTTTGGCAAGGAATACTGTACTCAAGCATGCCATTCTTACCAACAGAAACAATTAAATACTTAGTTTGAAATAAATCATCCCTAGCGGCTAAAAATATCTTTAGCTGACCAAATGAACATAGATATAGGTATGAGCATAAAACCAAACAGGATGGCCATTTAAAAAAAACGCACAGCAACATTTAGAATGGGGACACCATAAAATAATCTTCTAGCATTAGTTTAGACACAGATAAATCAAGCTGGGAGAGTTGAAGCATCTCGTTCTTAACCACTATCACAGATATGGACATGAAACTTGTTAAAATACAGAGAACATAAACTATCTCTATAAATTTTATATGAAGGGTAAATTGGAGACAGTGCTGTGCTAGATATTGAAGGGCATAATGTAAAAAGGTAGAAATTAGCACAGGATTTCTACAGATAACACTACCTAGCTCCAAAATTATTAACAGTAGAGACCACAAATGGACCAAAATGCTCAGAATAATATTTCTATTTATTTGTATTTATAATCCACCCCAATCCCAAAGGAATTTGGGCCATATACAATAAAAACAGAAACCAAACAAAAGAAAAGATAACATAACAGTAAAATCCATATGAAGAATTAAATCAGGTATATTCCAAAGGATAAAGTGTTCAAATAACAGATGACTTGAATTGCCCTCAAATAGCCTATTCCAATGCACATTCTATTAATGACAAATGGTAACATTTTTAGTTATCTACAACAAATGTCAGGAACAGCTGGACATGGAATCAACTAGAATAGGGATGGACAATCTTTTATTCCAAAAGAATCACACCAATTTACAAGGCAAATGTAGGTCAATATGAGGAAATATGAGGTGATGCATGTATCGACAAAAATAATGTGGAGTGGGTTCCACTAGTGGGACTAGTGGATATCCTAACCCTAACCCATAATTTACAAACCACAGCGACCAAGTTCACACAACACACTTAATTAAAAACAAAGTTCATGCTGGATTATCACATGTAAATCCAATCTCAAGATGATGGGACTCTGCACTGCTGACTGCTAATTACATGGTTTTGAGCGTACAGCATATATTTTCAACAAGTTTTCACCCTTGTGTGTGATTGCCATAAAAAACACAAATTCCATGTTATAGATTTTTAGAACTAAAAACAAGAAGAAAAAAAATCTGTTTCCCTACCCTTTTTTTTTAATAGAAAAAAACAACCAAAATGACAGAATCTGGGGCAATTTCTAGAGAGTAATTACATCTTGGGGCATCATAGTGTAGAAAAAGTAGGAAAAACAAGTTAAAACCCATGGTTATGCATGATATAAAGAAAATAAAGTTTTCTCAGCTCCTGATAATATAGAATTTAGATCATTCAGTACCAAACCATGGCATGTGTTAGAACAAGTAATAATGATATCCACCAACTTTAAAAACTCAAAATCATGATGTCTACATATTACTTCTATGACCTGAAGCAATACGCCTCACAATACCATATACTGAGGAACATAAATAGCAGTGTTGACTACTGTAGGAACAGAATGCTATATTAGACAAAACTTTCTGCTGCTTTATTACAGCATTTATATTCTTATATAAGGAGACTGAAAAATGTTAGCAAACAGTTGAAATGTCACCTCCTTTCTATATACAAAGAATGGCATGAGAAGATTATGCTATTCCCAGAATGGCTTCTTTCCTGGATAGGATTGCATTTTAATTTCTGGCAGGGCCCATCTGCCTTTAATACCTGTGTAGCAATCAAAAATGCAAAATAAGAACACTGGAGCAGCCCAGCTGGATCAGATTACAGATCTATTAAATAGCAACCTGTTTCCTATACAACAAGATTAGATGCCCAGAAGTTCATAAGTAGAATACTTTCTTGGCAGAATAATCTCTAAATAGTCCAAAACACTATCAGCTCTCAGAACCCCAAGACTCAACCCAGTTTTGGCACTCCTCCTAAAATGCCAATCTGCTTAAAAATAAATCTTTTTGCAGTCACACTGCCCTTTCTCTCAAGAAAGAATCAGAGGTAGGGAGGGAGAAATAACTTATTCTAAAATAACTTCAGTATTTAATATAAGTTCCCAACTATATGCTAGCTATTTTAGGTTAACTGTAATTTTCCTAACAGAAGAGATAATTGCCATATTATTAATCCTATTTCCTTATTTATATGATTTGTCCCACATTTCCATTTGACAAAGACATTCAAGGTAGCTATCAAATAAAACACAAATTCTTACATGTTTACAAAAATAATTCTAAAAATGTAGTTGAAACAATTCAAATGGCAATTACCACAGAGCTCTATCTTGAAACTCTTTCAAAAAAATCCAAATAACTGTTTTAATAGAGTCTCTTCCATGTACCCCCAACAGGGCGTATTAGGAGATGCCTCTAAATTCCACTACTGAAGATGTTAACATTTAGACAAATGCACGAGAAGATCAGCAGGACTTCAGATAACATTAGGTTGATTACAGTTTTTACTGTTTAAACCAGGTAAGTGCAAAATATCTAGTGCATGAACTTGTCCTGAGCATGCAACAGGTTTTCAGGTTCCCATGCTTGAACCAAAATGTAGCTCTTTTGCTCCATGCATGGAACAAAATAAGGGATTTTTGCTCCATGCACAAAATGAAAAGGGACTGCTTGCTCTGTGCAGAAGTGGCTGGGAGGGAGAACCAGGGGAAAAAAAGGACACCAATGGCTATGGGAAGGCAGAGAAGACACTGGGAAGATGGGGAGGTGGGCAAGCTAAGATATGCTGCATGGAGCATTAGTAACAGCTGTGTGGAGAGAGTAAACCTACTGGGAAAATGATGGGCAGGTAGATAGGATATGCAGTGCTGGGAGCTGCAAAGAGAAAAGGTGCATCACAGACCACCCTTGCCCTACCTGGATTTTGTTTCATCTGAAACTGAAACAATCACAAAGTGTCCTGAGCTTGGGTTCCTCTGAACCCATAAGTGAACAAAAAAGTATGACAAAATTGATTCATTCCAGGATTCAAAACAAAACATCCCCCACATCACAAACACCCATATTTAAGCTCAAGTGCCTAGAATATAACTGGCAACTAGTTCTGATTTTTTAGGGTGAAGAAGACAGACACGATTCCAGCAATAACTTGTTGATTTTGTAACAACTGCAGTTTATGGACACCCTTTAAGATCAGCCCAATGTTTAGGCATGAATAACTATTTTAGGTCTAATTGGCTCAGTTACTGTAGGGCACTACAGCTGGTGCCCGAAAATGGATTACGGGAACTCCCTCCCAGCCAATAGTTATCTAGTGATCTAAAAGTACCAACTTTCCTGAGTCTACACTGTAGGGCAACTTCTTTAAGGAGCAGCCAACAGGTAAAGAGAAGACATTCATGCTGGATGCCAGCCACTTTGCTTGCTTCGGATCTAAATATAGTGTATCGCTACTTCCAGTCCAGATCTTGTATTGACCATAAGCACTGCTATCTGGCTTTAATTTCAGCTTCTTCATTCTCATCTTGCTTGTTATCTAACTTAATAGTCAAAGCTATCAATGGTTTTCTTGGATTTCAGTGACTTGGATAAGGTATTTATTTATATAACTGTCCATCTCACTTGAATGTGACTCTGGGCAGATACACAATTAAAACACAATATAAACAATCACATAATTCAACCATTAAACCAGTTAAAAGACAGTTAAATTAAAATAACACCTCACTCTAAAGCTGGAGCAAGGCCCAACCCCACCAGATATTCTAGGATACCATGGCTAATTGTAACAAAAACTTCCCAATAGTGCAGATAACATATTAAAAGATTTTTTATTTTTAAATAGGTTGTTAAAAGGTAGGGAAAGGAATACTGTCACAAGAGAAAAATTAAGTGGAAATTGAGAACAGTTACCTTAACAAAGTATGCAAAGTTATTAACCTGAATACAAAAACTTTTAAAGCCTTGCCCCATTCACAAATAAATCCAATTTAACATAATATGTCTTCCTTACAAGAATGGAAAGAAGCAGAGCCTATTTCTGCAACCTTCGCTAAATTTAATCGGGAGTAGGCCCGATCTGAGCGCACCAAGACGAACACACGCATAAACAAATGCCCAAGGAGCCCCCTCGGGAGAAGTCTCGTTTATCCATAAAACCGTATTCCTTGCCTTCGCTACAACAAAACAGCAAACCTGCTGTCCGAGAATTCTTCTTTTAAGCTGACTGAGTCTCAGTCAACTGCAGCCCTTCCTTCTCCATTTCGCATTTTGCACTGCCGTTTTATCCGAGTGTTTACCTTTCCGAGAGTATATCCGCCGAGTTTGACGGGCTTACTCCACACAGCGCAGCTCACTACTTTAGCATAACCGGGGAAAGGCGAAAGGAGTCGCGCACAGCAGCCCCACTAAAGCCACGACGGATAGTCCGGAGCCCAAAGAGGCGCAGCAGAAAAAAAATCCCCACGAGGAAAAACGCTTTCCTTCGCCCTCTCCGCCCAGTACTCCACTGCCTGAGCCGCCGGTCGCAGCTTCTTCTCCCACCGCGACGACTGATCTACAAGCCTCACCTCCAAGCTGCGTAAAACGCCCACGTCCACTCGAAAATAACCGCCGCACTATTCAAACTCCGACATCCGCTTACGTCACAAAAAGAGGCAAGAACGAAAAAAAGAGCCCGGCCCCCTTTCTCCGTTGTAAGCTACATCCATTGATCCGATTTTCTACTGCGCTGGTCTGAATAGAATTCTTGGATCGGAGCGTGTGGGGCGGGGGTGTGGAATTCTTTGATTGGACGTTTGGCTGCTATTGGCTCCAGCTGCTCTCACCACGTCGGGAGGGGGAAAGAGGACGGGCTAATTTTTCACCCCCCCTTTCGCGGAGGGGTGGTATAGTTCAGCAACGTGAATTTGTCAGCCGGGAAACGAAGTGCGCGTGGTGGGTTGCGGTATGAGACTTGCTTACACAAAGGCATGGTTTACAGTATTTTTAAGTTGGCAAAACGCATCCGTGATACAAATCTTCATCGCTCCAGGACTGGAAGTAATCCCTTAAATTAGCAACCCTCAACACGTTTATTTGGGAGTACGCCTCCCTGTGCGAACCAAGCCAATGTTTGTGGGAAACGTGCATAGATTGTAAGCGCTTATTCAGCGAAATCCTGTCTACCCATCCACTCGTAAAACACATTGATTTTAGTGAGGCTTATTTTAAATAGCAAAGAATTGCAGCCTTTCGTAATAATCCAAAATGTTTATGCGAGTTGTTACAAAAGTTAGCTAATAAACGATCGGAGCAAGCAGTTCTCCATGTAACTGTAGATTTCCCTTATGCTAACTTTGTTATAATGCTGCTGTGAGAAGGAAATCAAATTCTTCCCCCATGTCAGCAGGAAGTCAAAGCTTCCCATTTGTCTCATTGTTTATCTTAACAGCAATCAATGCATATGACTAAATTATAGTCAGAATGGGCTCACTTAAAAGGATTAAGACATAACAGAATCAAGAGTCCTCCACCCTAGCCCAAAATTAAATAACTAAAGACCTGGCAGGGAGGGCCAACATCCCTTAAACCAAAAAAATCGAATCATAAAAAGATTTCTTCCTGAAGAGATGTACATTCCAATTAGACAATATCAGATACGCCAAATACAGGACACTCCAGCTCTGTAGGGTGCCTGACCTTAGAATGCTCCCTAGTCAATTTCACCGCTCTCTCCTGGAATTCCACCTTTCCTAAGAAATCCCAGAGGGCCTTTTAAGGATCTTCCCTATAAAAGGGGATTCCTGGGAAGCCCTGATGCCGCCAACAGGTGATTGTCTTGTGTATCTGGCTCTGGGAAATAAAGTCATCTCTCTCCTTTCAAGCAACCACCCGTGTGTTTATTCCCGGCTCGGAGACGAACCTCGTAAATTTGCATTCTAACACTGCAATCCCAGATATAAAAGTATGTTAATATGGATTAAATGTTTACTCCCTTGTATTATTTTTTTCTGAATTTACCCTTGATTTGCCGTTTTTCTTAACTGTGGCAATACACTGTGGCTGTAAGCCTTATTCTACTCAATGGAACTAAAGGATGAACTACTGCAGGGTTGGGTTTTAATAAGTAGCAGCTAGAGAGCATTTATTCCTTAACATTTTGGGGGGATAAAAAAATAATAAATGTACCCTTGTACAAGCTATATTTAACAAAAAAAAAAAAGTGACTTGGGAAATCTCCCTGTTCCTTAGGAAGTAATAGTAAGTTGCACTGAAAATGCAGTTCATCTATACACTTTCAATCTGTGGTTGCTCAAGTGAGATCATTTTTCAAAACTTTGTTCATCTAAATGACATTGATAAACTGAAGCATGTCCGGAGAAGGACTACCAAGATGGTGAAGGACTGAAAACAGTCCTATGAGGAACGGTTAAAAGATCTAGGTAAGTTTAGCTTGCAGAAGAGAAGGTTGAGTAGGGACATGATAGCTGTCTTCAAGTATCTGAAGGACTGTCACACTGTAGAGGGTTTGGACTTATTCTCTAGAGGATAAGACTAGGACTAATGGGATGAAACTTCAAGGATGTAGATACAGATTAGACATTAGGAAGAACTTATTGACAAAAAGAGCTATCAGTCAGTGGAACAGATTACTTCATGGGGTGGTTTCTTCCCCTTCACTGGAGGTTTTCAAACAGAGACTGAACAAGTACAATGTTTTTGATTAATTTGTTTAACTGGGTTCTCTTTATCTAGTTTTAAGATTTGTGTGGAGTGTTGGAAAATATGGGGTTTCAACCAAGCCTGTCCCACACAAGCACAAAGGGAGGGGTGGCTTCGCTGCGGCCTAGCTTTACTGCTTTGTATGGGAGGGGCTTGGAGCCCGCCTTTTTTCCTGTTTCCCTCATTTTCTTTCTCTTCTCCTCATGGCTCTCCACAAGGTGGGAATGAATCCTCTTTCCTCCTCATGGTTTTTGTAGTAACATTTCAGAACCCCAACACTGGGTTATGGGGCCAGCGTATCAGCCCAGGAGGTTTCTTTGGTCTTATAGCCAAGAAACTGCTTGCACATTTTTAAAAAGGCTGAGTTCAGATTTTTCTCTCTCCTTTTAACAATGGAGAGGGAGGAGGGGCTTCCCCCCATCCCAAAGCTGAATGAAGACAATTTTCAGCTTGGCTATACAGACTAAGGCTGCAATTGGACTTTCAGGACAGCCTAGATTGTTTAGATTCCCCTCACCCGACAACCAGGGGATTCTGAGGAAGCCAAGAGATTATGGGAACAGAAGAACAAAAAAGGCATGATTTTAATTTCTAGTTCACTACCTGATCACAGACTGGCAGAAATAAAAGATCTTCCC